TAATTTTTGATCTGTTCCTTTATATATATATATATATATATATATATATATATATATATATATATATATATATATATACATGTACCTCATGCGCGCGCTTGTACGTGTCTGATTCATCGTTTCCTCGCCTGCATGTGCACAATGCGTGCACCCATGCATCTTCAGATCTCTGGCACGTAAAAGCATGGCTACTAAATGGCTCTACTGAAACCAGCACGTGCAGTATTGATGTCGAAACGCGAAAATGTAGGGCTAACCATGTGCTTGTGCTTTCGCTTCCAGCGCTTAGAGTTCGCGTCATATCGGCGTACATTTGCTGGAACACTATACATATGTGCCAACATAACCTTTAGCGATCATCAAGGAAGATTTATAATAATGGTCATTATGTCAGAAAAATATATTAACCTTGCCTTTTACAGCACTTCACACTCACGGCTTCGTTAAGGCAATTGAAAGCAGCTTCAGCTTGCGTTACGGGTTCAGAGAACCCATGGCTACGTCTTTGCTGTGAAAGCCCCAGCAGACCTGCAGTCTACAAAACAGGTGGCCGTGCATTTATGTGCTAGCTCGCCGTGTTCCACTTCCGAGGCACGGTTTCTCGTTCTGCGGTTGTTTTTTATCAAAACGCCTCAAGTTTTTGTCAAGTTTCCATATTACACATTTTGCTTTCACCGGAAACAAACCTCACACCGCATAACAATTGTTCACTTCCTGTTCGGTCCATTGCACCGAAGCCAGCGGCAAGTTTGCACTATTTCGAATCGAACTGTTTCCTTACAACAGAGATCAAATTGACCAACCGTGAAAAGTCGAGATATTCAGTCACTGCGTGACCGGCACTGCTTTTGTACGGAGAATCGATATTGAGAGATAAAAAAATCTTTCTTTCTGTGAAGGTGATCATTTCACAGCAATATAGATGAAGTGACTTCTTATGTTTCGTTATTCGAAGAGGTGGAGAAAGTAGAGCAAGTTTTTTCATATAATGGTCACGTAAAAGTAGCTGAAACCGAACGTAAGTGACCGGATTAGACATAGCGTATATACAAAGAAAAAGATAAATTTGTGCCAATGGGGTCAGTTTTTCTTTCGTAGAGTTCTGCATTCTGGTTAAATATTGCTTTTTAAGCTACCCAGCATTACCAAATATGTGGGGTTTGGATCGATTGCCCTCCTAGACAGCTACACTTCGTTGGTAACTACTGGGATTGCGGCTAAGACGCATAACAACTTCTAGTTCTTTCGTCTTTGTTTGTAATTTACGCAATATTGCGGACATATGATATAATTAGGGGCATATATGTTTTTCAAAAAGGGTCGTGGCTAGAACTGCACTTCAATAAATATTACAGATATTATTTGCACACATGTTCCACAGAATGAAAACATATACAATAAAAGGTAAACATGGTCCCTCTAATTCAGATGTCAGCTTTCATTCGTGTAACTTGAATGGTCCGGCGTAACGAAGTAGAGCATCGTTTTACAGCACTGCGCTACAAATAAGTAGTTCCGAAAACGAAATAATGTGAACGCGCGGAAGCCTTGAACCCGTCGCTAAGATAAAGTACTCTGCAGGTCATATGAAATACGTTTTTAATTAAACTATTCAACTCGTATAAAGGCTTCCAAGGTCATGTGCACGCAAGACTCGTGTCTGGGACGCACATATGCAGCGTGCCAGGCCCTGCAACACTGACAAGGGTGCGGGGAAAGGCACGTCGTCAGCACTCTCTTGTGAACGAGGCACCTTTGTTCGCATAGGGGTGTGCACTCGGGGTGACCTACTTTTCTGTAAAGTGACGCTTAGCTGCAACTCCCTGCAAGGGGACACACGATGATCGACCGAGCGCATTTCTTCGTTCTGCCGCGATCGCCCGCCTTGCAGGGCGGGGTCCCAAGGCCGCGTATACAGTGCAGGCGGTGAGTGGGGAACACGCGTGACAATTAGTCTCGTCTCCCACCAGGGGTGTATGAAGTCTCGAACCCCAATGTCTTCATTCTGTTCGACATCTGTCATTCGCCTCATTAATCACCATCGCGTCAACATCCCCTTTGTCCGTCGAACGTAATTGGCCTCATCTAATCGACGTCTCGGTGATGGACGAGCATTGCTTCAAACTAAAGACGTGAGCGGACAAGTTGCGTAACCCGCGGCTGGGTAAGTGTCCCGCATAGCGTCGCGCGAAAAAAAAAAAAATCGGCCACTGCAGTGCGATAGGGTCGTGTGCTACTGTACTATAATGAAAGCAGGCTGTAGCAGCGACGGGAACAGGTGTTGCGCTAGTCCAAGTCGGTCAGTTTTTTTCTCTTGACGAGCGTGGACCAACGACGGACGGCTCACTGAGCAACAGCGGGGAACTCGAAAGGGTGTGGGCGAAATCTCCATTGTTTCGAGGACGGTCGAGGAGAAAGCGAAGGCGCGGAGGAGTACAAGTGAAGGAGAGTTTTGAGGAATCTGTACATGCTCTGCAGTACTGCTTCTACAGAGGATCGCGCGCTTAACTGCTTTCACGTTATTAGAAGGCGCCTCGAACTAGCCTCTTCTTTCACAATTCCTCCGCGTTTCGCCGTTTAGACGGATATTTCCGCTCTCCTGGTTTTACAACCCACGTGCAGTCCGTCAGTTGGTTTGAGCACGATTTTTTTTTCACTCCTTGATTGCTTGCTGGTTTGCTGATTTCTTCAAAGTGCGTAGCACTTTTCTTTTACTGCCCCGCATGAAACACAGAACACAAGGTACGCAAACTAGCGGACCGTTGATACATTGAGGTCACGCGAATTATCACTTTGCCGGGACCTCGCTCGGGCAGATACTAGAGGAAACCCTCCACCCCGGCCTCAGCTGCTATGACCTGACGAGGCCCTTCTCCGCGTTATGAGCGTGTGCGAGAGCCGGAGCAGTGCGCACATGCGGGAACGTTGCGCGCAGGCTCCGGCAAATACAGTTCCATACTAAGAAGCCTGATCGGTTTGTGCGTTGTGCATTCATTACTATTAGTGGAACGAAACGAGTACTGTACAACTTAAAGAGGAAGCGCGACAAGTGTCTTTTTCGTTATTGGTCTCGGGAACATTTGGGTCAATACAATTCGTCCTTTTCCGTGTCGTATCGCTTGCAAGTGAGTTGCGTGCGCTTGTGAGGCAATTCGAAGATTGCGTGTTGGCACTAGTCGGGCATATATTACCCGCTAATGGGCCTCTACCATCCCTCGTATTGGTTCCAGAATAGGAAAAAAAACGTAGCACTTGTGCCCGTCATTTGAAGACGGTCCCCACTGTGCGCGTGTGTACAGTGACGAAACATATTACACGCGTCAAATTAAGCGCGACAAATCGTGAGAAGAAACAAGTGCATACGGATCTATTTCATTTTATTACTACCGGCTCAATGTACTGCGATTGTTGATGTGCCGCTCCATTTGACGTGAAACATATCTTTCGTGCGGCAGTCGTTTCCCCTTGAAAGGGAAACTTCAGCCGAACACGTGGTAAAAAAAAGTCCCGGGTTTTGGCCAGCTGCAGTCCTTCTTAACTAATGGTCATTATTGAGAGCAGATAGTTTGAAACAAGGCTGATCACTGTGACTACAGTGCGTAAGCGATTGTCAGTTTAAGTGCAACCTGCCTTCGTCATTATAATGACCAAAAACCTTCGTAACGGAATTCTTAACGATGGTCCTTCCGACTGATAGGCCCTCAATCACTCACTAGTTCGTAAATTTTGTGTTTAATTTAATTGTTTTGATTTTTACGTGTTTTAAAAGAAAGCTTTAGTTACAATGTTTATTATCACGGGCATCGTATGGGAAGTTAACATCACCAGCTATTATCACCGTTTTTTCTCTCACTCTCACTGACGTCCTTCGATCCAGAGCATAATCACCGTGTTAATGGTCAAGTGGGAAGAGTTGACACGAGTAAGTTTTTTTTAAACGCAGTAATCCAGAAATGTCGTGAAATGCTATGCAATACATTAGACAAGATGATATCCTAGTGAGTACAAAACAATCTTCAAAACTTTTGAAAACGCACTGCGTCACTTACTTCGAGAAATGTTATATATTTACGTATATACATGTCGACGATGATACAGTCACCTTTGGAGTCATTGTGTTGAATCTCTAAGCGATCTGACAGTTCATAATACAGTTACGCAAAACTATGGCTCAGATATAAGAAATATGCTAATAAACCACTTCGTACGTTTATTACAAACACAAACCATGTGTGCTTTGGTAAAATTAAAACTGAAAAAAATATCTCGCAAGTGTAACAGTGCCAACAGATCAGCGAAATGCAATAACAAGTCCCCCCGCACGAATCGAATGCAGCGGGATCACGCAGTCATTGAACACGTTGACTGCCCGAAGTCGATAAGAACTGTGACGGGTACGTCGATAGATTTCACCTGATTAGTTAGTTCGCCCCTAACACTTGGCACTAACAAATTTTCGTACAGTGTCGTTTCGAGAAACAAACATTAGCCTTCATGCTTGAGGCAAAATCCTGAAATTTGGCAACCTTTGCGCTGCTTTTATCCAATGAACTGCTTATGAACTACCTGACGATTGCGATAGCTATCCTGTTAGGTTGCGGGAGTTCCATTTGCGCGCGTTATAATTACAGCAAAAGTTTGCCTGCATAACGTCTAGCTTAGGACATTGCGCTGCTGAAGCGGCACGCTACAAGCTGCACCTCTCGGCATTTATGATGAGCGGAGAAGAGCTCCTCTCAGGTGCTGCAGATGCATTCGGTTCATCCTTGGGAGAACGCGCGCGCGACTCTTATCCGCCATCCGCATCCTCCGTTAAACCGAAGGCGATGTGGAGACCCGAAGCGAGAGCCGTTACTTTTCCACGCAGTGAAAATCCAGGCTCAGACGCACAGGGAACAGTGCAGATCGGGAAATATGAAGATTGACGAAAACGGGCACGATGCAGATCGGGCACGACGAAGAACGACGAACTGAGCGAAAAGCGGGCCCCGGACACTTACCCGGGAACGCATGGCAGAAGCCAGTCTTGTACTTCTCTCCTCCTCCCGACTGTCGAATGTAAAAAAGATCCACCAGCACCGGCACAACGAAGTGCGTACAAGGCGTACAGATATACCCCAGCGAGAGTCACCACACTTTTGCGGCCGGTCGGGGGCCGCCAAAATGCATTTATACCGCAAACGCCCTCGCCTCTTTTTTTCTGCTCCGGCCTGGCTGGACCACGGTAGCGGGCGCCGTCACGTGACGGGGAGCGTGATTTCGTTTTCTGCGAGGCCCTCACCACTTTCGCCCGCTGCCGCCCAAGTGGACGCGGCGCTGTGTCTCTTTAACACTGCGCCTTTTCCTCGCCCCTCGATCAGCCTGGGCCCACCGACTGCGGACTTCCTCCTCGTCCATTAGCCTCCTCGCGCGGAAGACCGTTTTCATTTCGAGCGGAAGGCGAGAGACTGGCGACGCGGTGGTCACGGGCCACGCTTGACCGTTACGGCCGCCTGGCCGGTACGAAGCGCACTTCTTTCGGTCACGGCGTGTTCCGGATTGTGACTTGCGACCGACGCATGTGCGTCAGATGTCACGGAGATCGTTTTTCGGTGACAGTAAATGTGTTTCGGTTGTAGCCGTATGGAGGACACGTTTGGCGTGCGGCTAGGTAGCTTGAACCGGGCTGATGTAATACGTGGTGTTCTAGTTTAACTTACAGTAAGCGCAGTTTCTTGTTGCGTGGTGATTGATACTGATACAAAACTATGGTGATATGTGTATGGCATCAGTTTAATTTGTCGTAACCAAGCTGTGGAGTCACCGTCACACCTAATAAATTATTCTTCAATGACATGAAACCATGATTAAGAACGTAAGATAAGCATGAAGATCGGAAGAAATACCACATACTTGATTGCACTTGCGTAGCCGAAAAACACTTATGCGTCAGCGTTTCATAGAGGCTGAGTTACGGCGTTTATTTGTCCCACTGCAGGCATACCGAAACATTCACAACTGGACGAGGATATTGTCAATGTTAGAAACTTTGCTTCTTTCCAACGCCTTTTTATGGTGATTACAATGACAAAAAAATAATGGGTAGTCGCTACACTATGAACGGGAATGGGTGTGCTTGTTTAAATGTGGTTTATCACACAATATATTGCGGAAAAGCTTCTGAGAAAATCGTATCTCAAGGAGTTGTTTTAATGTTCCGATGTCGCTTGATTTCCACCTAATTCTAGTAATATCTTATATTCCCGCATTCTACAGCTAATAATACAAGCGACATAAAAAGTTGGCAGATCCCAAAGAGTGGGAATTGATGATATGCAAAGCATGAATGAAAAATGTTGATATGTCACTTTAAGATCAGAGCAACGTTGTTACGAGGTGGAGGTAAATGGTACCATACATGACTCCCGAGTCATGATTATCATGTTTGGATGTGCCCTTTGCCTTCGTCAGCTATTCACGTCACTTGACACCAAGTTTAGTATATGTGGAGCTAGTGAAACGGCCGCGAACACGCTATGAGTGTGGTATGCTGTCACGTTCTTACATGACACGCGTGTCAGGATTATCATGTTTGCAGCAGTCATACATTTTGTCATCTATTGACGTCACGTAACACGAACTTTGGTATATGTGGAGCCAGCAAAACGGCCGCGAGCGCATCACGAAGGGCTCTATATACTTGAATGTAGCGTTGACGCGCGCGCATGTTGGGCCCACCGACCTTACGTCAGCAAAAGAAGAGCACTCTATAGTCTGACGCCAGAAGCGACCAGCGTCCGTCGGCACAGCCCGACGGCAACCGGCACGAAATGCGACATGCTGCATTTCGCGGCGATGTCATAGAATAACATTACTCTATGCCGGTGCGTTACCCAGACAACACTGCGCCTTCCCCTTTTCGTGACGGAGGGACGCCAGACGCGCTGAAACACGCCTGCGTTTATGGGAGGAGTAGTGCCTGGCGTTCCAAGGCCGACGTGACGCGACAAAATGAACACCGGTGGGCACGCGCAACGCCTCACGTCGAAATGTATTGGCGCCTTGACGGTGGCATGTAGTCATGTTCTCACATGACACGCATTTCATGATTATCATGTTTGCACCCATCACATACCTTCGTCATCCATTGGCGTCACGTAATGCCACATTAGGCATAGGTGAAGCTAGCGAAACAACGGCTGCGAGTGCATCACGAGTGTGCCATGTAGTCATGTTGTTGCAGGTCACGCATGTTGTGATTATCAAATTTTGATGTGTCATTTACCAATGTTCTCTGTTCGCGTCACGTAATACCGACTTTGGTACATCTGAAGCTAGCGAAAAGTCCGCGAGCACATCATATGCGTAGCATGTAGTCATGTTCTTACACGATGCGCATCTCATGTTTATCATGTTTGCGTAGTATCATACATTCGTTACCCTTTCACGTCCCGTAATACCGAATTTAGTATATGTGACGCTAATGAAACGGCCGCGAGCGCATCATGAGCGTTGCATGTAATCATGTTGTTACATGACAAGCATGTCATGATTTTCATGTTTGTGTCTGTCGTTTGTTTCGCCATGCAATCATGTCATACTATACCAGTTTTGCTACATGCCATATGAACGAGACCACCGCAAGAGGTACAAGACCATGAAATGTAAGTTATGACATTTATGACATACATGTCAATATTTTATTGTTATGACTAGTCAAATATGTTCTTCATAGAGTCATGTTATGCCATACTAATTTCGATGTCGATACTATTATCGAAACGGCCAGGAGAACTAAAAGTCGTAGGAGGCTAGATAGATAGATAGATAGATAGATAGATAGATAGATAGATAGATAGATAGATAGATAGATAGATAGATAGATAGATAGATAGATAGATAGATAGATAGATAGATAGATAGATAGACAGACAGACAGACAGACAGACAGACAGACAGACAGACAGACAGACAGACAGACAGACAGACAGACAGACAGACAGACAGACAGACAGATAGATAGATAGATAGATAGATAGATAGATAGATAGATAGATAGATAGATAGATAGATAGATAGATAGATAGATAGATAGATAGATAGATAGATAGATAGATAGATAGATAGATAGATAGATAGATAGATACGCTCAAAGTCACTGAAGTTCGTTAAGAAGTGCTTCGCATTTAAAACAGAATGTTGCCCCAGGATGACTCAGAGGAAGGCCACCGCCAGGGGTATGGCAGAGTCATTGTCCCATTCCCCTTTCACTCCTACACACGTCCCGCCCTCCGCATTCGGCTTCTTGTCTGATGTTGGCCGCTACGCACTGAGCAAACTAAGCGCCAAGTGAGCCCTGCCCCAGTAGGTCATGACTTTACCGACTTGGTCATGCCTGGTGATGCAGGCACGGATTGAAAACAGACGAATAAACGAATGCCTACACGTTTTACATTCGTTCCCTTCGCCATTTTCTGAGCAAACATCATAGTGTGCTTGCGTTAGTCATAGTATATGGTGCTCGTGTTTTTTGTGCAGAAAGATCGAGTGCCATTCAATTGTTTATTCACACACACACACACACACACACACACACACACACACACACACACACACACACACACACACACACATATATATATATATATATATATATATATATATATATATATATATATATATATATATATATATATATATATATATATATATATATATATATATATATATATATATATATATGGTGGGGTGATATTCAATGGATCCGGTGGAAAATGCAGTATAAAAAGAGGTCGACAAACGTGCGAAAAAACACTAGTTTTACTAACGTTTCGGCAGGTGGGCCTGCCTTCGTCGGAGTGAACCATTCACTCCGACGAAGGCAGGCCCACCTGCCGAAACGTTAGTAAAACTAGTGTTTTTTCGCACGTTTGTCGACCTCTTTTTATACTATATATATATATATATATATATATATATATATATATATATACATATATATATAATGAAACAAGGAGAAATTTCTTACAGATTTGCTAAGTAGTATCATAGAGAAACACAATTCACACTCCCAATCCGCCCTTGGAATGCGATTGCTCCGCTCAGAGCAGCAAAACTTGATCTGTATCTGAAATTGAAATTAAAATATAAAGTTTATTCCGTAACAAAAACATGTTACGAAAAGGGCAGGTAAAAGCTGTGAGAACAGCTTGAGTAGCCCTGACCACCTAGCACAAGGTAGCACAAAAGACGTGCGGCTAAGGACGTGCGGCTTAAGATCTGCCATTGGAATTCAGCGTATGGGCCAGTATTTCAGTCTCTTGAAATCGTGCTTCATATCCAGAGGTGGTCCAGTGAACCGGCAAATTGGCAGTTATTTTTGATCCACGGCTGGTGTTCGCGTGCGTTCTATTTTTTCTTGATAGTATTATGTGTTTGTCCCAGCCTCTTACGTTTTCTGTTTTCTGCTCGTGCAACCGTAGTAACGAGGAAATGAATAGGTCAGAATTTGAAGCAGCGTATTGGTATAGGCTGTTCAAATGCGGCATCGATTGATATGTGGAGTTAGATGTCCCAAAACCACCATATTATTATGAGAAACGAGGTAGTGAAAGGCCGTGGTAATTTTGACCACCTGGGCTTCTTTAACGTGCACCCAAATCGGAGCACACGGGCCTGCAACATTTTCGTCCCCATCAAAAATGCAGTCGTCCCAGCCGGGATTTTGATTCCACGACCTCCGGGTCAACAGCCGAGTACCTTAGTCACTAGACCACCGCGGTGGTACCTAATGTGGCTTTGTTTAATGTATAGCACTGCTGTAGAAGTAATAAAATTAGCAACCAACAAAAATAAATTGATACATTCAAGTCGTAAGACTAATTATTTGACCACGTGTAACGCATCTTGTGCGGCTAACTTTGCGATGCTTACAATAACCACCCGTACACGAAGAGGAAACGCTAGAAACCCCCCTCCCCGCCCCCAACGAAAAAAACTAATAAAAGAGTGGTCTCCCATCAAACATGGCCGTGCGTGTGGCAGCATACTTCTGCTCTCTCTATCTTACTTCGTAATACACCCTTGTTTTGTTCATTGTCAACGCATATATATAGGTGCATATCTGTGTCGCTATTTGACGTCCATCAA